AGGGGTTAGCAGAATTGAATGTCAGGACTATCGAAACTAAAACGGTTTGCAATACACAAACCGTAAATCCAGGGTAGCGGGAATTAGAGTGGGCGGAGCTCAAATATCAACATTGCAACACGTCTGGGAGGGGACATACACATTTCGCGAACGGCTTCAAGAGTTTGAAAATGGATTGTTCAATCCACCCCGTAGCCATGCCTTTCAGGTTTGTACGAAGTATAGACGGACATTTTTGATATGTCATGAAAGAGAAGTGTGTTGGAAAATTAAATTTGCCCGTTTCGCTCTTGGGGAACGAGAAGGGTAATGGAAATTTCTCTTTTTTTTTATGAAGAAACGTTGGCTAACTTCAACTAGCAACCCTCCTCAACTGAGCCAAAATGTCAACACGTGGGTAGCTGCTTCTTTATTAAGACACTCAAGCGCCGACGGCATTAATTATCGCTTCTTTAAAAGAAGGCAAATCTTTAAAAAAAAAAACACACATCGAGAGTGTTCCTTAAAAAAAAAAATGGGGCTATCAATAATCAGAAGAAACAGCTGTTAAACGTAGGATATCTCTAGCTGGTTGGTCGCACACATTTCCTCTTTATCAAGCAAAAACAAAAAACCAAAAAAACATGGGGGCGGATCGCGGGAAGAAGTGAGGGGGCGTCTGTGACATCAAACAACCCAAGACGAGTCAACAACATCTCGGTGCATCTTGTAGATGAGTTCGTGCATTTCCCCATTGTGCCAGTAATCAACTCGGTCAGTACGCATACACGGCATAATACGGTTGGGCCCCCGTACCGTCTGTCGACCGGACAAGAACACCTACGAGTTTCGAAGAATCGGCCCGGGCGCTCTTGATATTCGCTCCTCTCCATAGTCAACAACTTCTCTACTTACAGATTTAAGGCGTCTAGCTTGGTCAATTTAATTTATGGTAAAAAGGGAGATATATATCAATCATTAAATACGAAAAGTGGGACTCAAAGTTCCGATTCAGAACTGGAGATTTATTAGTATATCTTCAAGAAGGGCGATTTCTTTAACTTAGTTTTTTTCTGGCTCGACAAAGTCCCACCTAAATTTAATTTAAGATTGTTTTTATTAAAAAAAGCTTTATTTTGATTATGATCTGGATCTACTTAGCAAAAAAAGACAAATTTTCAATTTCTTCAAACCACTTATGTATGTACTTTCAACACAATATTTGTTATTAGATATCAATGCAAATTACATTGAGGACAAACAAGGAACCTTTCAAGACCTTACGCAAAAACAGCCATCTCATAGAGGCCATTGTTTTTTTGTTATACCAGTCTATTTGTAGACCCTATGTGAATTCAGTATTAAAAAATCAAAATATCAAAAAAGATATTTTTAAAAAATAAATCCAAAAGTTAAGCGTACATTTTAATTACTGCAGACTACCAACGGAAGAAACAAGATGCATTTGAAAGGATGAGCTTGCAAAAAATAGGAACAAGATCGTCATTGTTACCAAGCACTCGTATAGTAACCATGGTGATTTTCCATTTATAAGCAGCTGGATAAGGTTAAAACGCACGTTTGCCTTGCTTGTAATTATCCTGACACAAGTTCTCAATTAAGGGGTTATTCTGAGAGGGGATCTACGCAAGAAAAAAATCCGGGCGCTGCTTATCTGTTGAATGTGTCTTTTCCAGGGTGATTTCGAAAAGTTTTGTTTAGCTCAATTTTGCTAAGTTTTGCCCACCCAACACTCATCTGTCAGTAACGTACTGTCCTTGCTCTGCAGCAAATTCGTTTGTTTTTGGTTCTGCTTAATTTCTAACTTGCACGTTTTTTCACCAACCCCCATACTTTTGCTATTTTTGTGCATTTGAAACTATCTGAAAGACAGCCTTTATCTGAAGTATAGGGCCGATAAATTTGGATCAATGTCCAGTTCAAATGTGAGCAACTTTTGTATTGATAGAAAAGTATTAGTTTTTATATAAAAAAAACCCGGGTGTAACTGGAATATAACACGTACATCTTTAAGGCAGGCGGGGGCGGCCATCCAGGATTACCATTCAACCAGTGATTCCTCTAGACAAATAGAAAATAAGGCAGTCACCGTGATGAACAACCGGGTTTGTCCGACGGACCACAATATGTCGGTTGGCTGCAGCCTGTACGTCAGAGTTGTAATGAGTAACTGATTTTTGTGACTCAAGTCGAGTCATTAGGTCAAGAAGGTCGAGTCGAGTCAAATATTTAGCTCGAGTCAATTCGAGTCACTTATTTGAATTTTTGAACTCTATATAACAAATGAAGACGGGAGGAAATCCTTTGTATTTATCACTAACAGTTAACAACAAGAAGATCTGAGTCGGCTTCGGGTCTAGAATTTTTTTCGCTGATCGCTGACATCAAACCAAATTGCATTATACAAAACTGTTTCTGATTAATATTTAAAAGTGGGCATGGATCTATTTAATTTTAAAAAGGAGGGCACACATTTAGCCGGCGATCGAATCTAAGAGCTTTATAAGAAATCACCCAATGATGAAATCCAATGATGAAACAACGAATTGGCAAATGTGTTTAAAATCCAGTTCCTGGATAGTATTTTGTGCGTTCCAGAATCATGAGGGACTGGGGTCCGCTCATAAGTCCGACGACTCATAGGTCCGAGTACCGTCCGACGCCTTATAAGTCCGACAAAATCGCATCCCCTAACCAAATAAAGGTCCATAAGTCCGACGGCTCATAGGTCTGACGCCTCATAAGTCCGATGCCTCATAGGTCCGACGCCTCATAGCTCCGACGCCTCGTAAGTCCGACAAATGAAACGACTCGTTTTTGCGACGTCGGACTTATGAGGCGTCAGACTTATGAGGCGTCGGACCTATGAGGCGGAATAAATAATTGTTATGCCTCATAAGTCCGACGCCTCATAAGTCCGAAATTTTGGACTTATGAGGCGTCGGACTTATGAGGCGTCGGACTTATGATACGACCCCGAGGGACTGACGAGGGACTCGAGTTGAGTCAGGTCATTTGCTCGCAGTGACTCGAGTCCAGTCGAGTAATTTACCCTTAGGGACTCGAGTCGAGTCGAGTAGAGTCGCCAAAACTCGATTCGGACTCGAGTCGAGTCATTGACTCGAGTCATTACAACTCTGCTTAACGTAAACAGGATCGACTCCGACGATAGTTCGACACTGCATTCTCGAAAATTCCCGGTAACGACAGAACCGAGCGTATACTTTCTGGGAGATGAGGTTTATGTTTTCCTTCCTCCCTGCTTTTATTGACCAAATGAACCAGAGTAATAATCATACACAGTAGATAGTAACTGGCACTCGGGGGAGGAGGGGTGATCATTATTCTGGAAGGGGCATACAATTTGTTTTTAAAATTTGAACGCTCGTTTGTTCCTTCCCCGAATTTTGAGAAGGATGTGGGTGGGGGGGGGGGGGGGGGATGTGCTCCAAAGGCCCCCCCCCAAAAAAAAAAAACTTTGAGAGGGAAAATTGTGCATAGGCCTCTGTGCACTTTTTAAAGAACATTGGTATTTATTATTGTTGGAGTAGTGTCCCGTCAAGTCACAATTTAATTGGTTTATTTTTAAGGCTGTTATTCATGAAATCAGTTTAAAAACAGGATAAGCAAAATATGACCTTATTTTTAAAACGCAATTAACAAGTAACAAGGCTGGGTACTGCGTCACAAAAGTTCTGAACGTCAATCGTACGTCATTTAAACAAATGAGATGGTGAGATGTCTTTAAAAGGATTACATTTCTTGTACTGGAGGCATCATCACGCAAATGCTGATGCTATTTTCAAGGATTTAATGAGGGATCCTACCATATACAGGTGGTTTCCTTAGAAGCTTTCTGGAAAAGAAGTCACAAAAGAAGATCCTGTTGGCGTAGTGATGACGTTGCTGGCATCATGTGTTTGCTGCAGTCGTTAGATTTCCTCATTAGCGTGGACTCAATGCAAAGGAAATAGATGAGCCTGGAAATATATCTACACCGTGGGCATATTGTAAGAAAACTATGCCAGTTGGATTACAAAAAAAAAAATTGAGTACTGTGATTTTTGTTTTTACTGACTTTCTAAAAGAACCTGCTTCCAGTCATACAGGGACTAAAGCAAACCTGCTCGTCTCAACATTTATACATAAATAACCACCAAAAAGCTCTGGCTTCTTGTACCTTGTACATCAAAAACCCGAACGGTCCACCAGGAACTAACTGGAAGTTGACAAGAGTCGATGCCTAGCGGGGGCCTGTTAAGTCTTTGTTGGTCTTGGATGGAGCTTTTGAAGGCTGCAGAGGAAATTATGTTGACGGATTGCTGTGGTTGGGCATTCCAAAGTCAAATGGCTTTAGGAAAAAAAGACTGGATAAAGGGGGTAGATGTATGATGGTGGACTTCAAACTGCTTGTTCTCCTGGATTGATAGTTTTCTGTCTGAGGTATGAAGTTGGCGTCAATGTCGATGTCTGGTTAAGAATCTTGTGGAGTGTGGCTAGCCGTTGCGTCTTTCGCCTAGTCTCAATAGGATTCCAATTGAGGTTGATGAGCATCTTGGTCACACTGGATTTGGCTCTAAAGTCACCACACACGAACCTGGCTGGTCTTCATTGGACTTTTTGTAATACCTCCCTCTTTTTTTGGTTCCTTGGTTCCAAGCGGCTGAGGCATACTCCAAATGTGGTTGGACAATGGTTTGGTACAGGTTTTCTTGGACAGTCTTTGAGCACTGGTAAAAAGTTCTTCGCACAAAATTTAGCACCTCGGTAGCTTTGGTTGCTGCGTGATGAGACTATTTGTCCTATTTCAAGTTGTTTTGAATAATAACACCAAGGTACTTTCTCAGATTTTTCCTGCTTTGGAATTGGAAATGAAATTTAATGAGTACCACAGAATTATCTGAAATGCAGGAATATTCAATGTTTCATCAAAATATACAACAGGACAATTCAGTTTTTGCTTGAAATTGAATACTGAAAATGTGGCTTACACTATCGCATGAGTGTCCGTCTTTCACATTTGAAACACAAAATTCCTTCAATGAATCCTTAAAATTTACAATTTTTGGTTAAAAACCTTTTCAGCAACTATCAATCTTTTATTATTTGATTTCATTTTTAACCAACAGTCCATTATAGTTTTTAAAAGGCAAATTATCATCGAGTCTTTATAATCTTTACTCGGGCTGAGTGCTTTGTAAATTCACCATCGAATGGACTGGTTGGATAATTCTTTTAATAAATCTACTTATTTACAAAAACTATAAAATATCAAAATGCATGTTGCTTGAACTCACAAAAACCCAACAACATCGACATTCGGTTAAGGGCCAGTCTCAATTTATATCCGGACGAGTTCTGGACAAGTTCCGGACGTTGTATCGGGTATAAGTTGCAGGATTCTGAACAACTTCCCAGCAATCTTCCCACAATGGAGTTGTCAGTATTTAGGAGTCAAGCAGTTGCTAATGAAACTTTCCGTGGAACATGTCTGGGACAAATGCTGAGCTTCTTCCATACAGTGAATGATTCTACCCGCAACTTGTCTGGAACTTGTACTGGATATGAATTGCAATGGGCCCTAAAGTTTCAGTGTGAGCTGATAAGCCGAAATTATCTTAGGGTTATGTTAAGATTTTTGTATCAATAAAAAAAATCTATGCATCTGGAATTAACACCCAACAGTTTTACTTAGCCAAATATTAACTGGCTGAGAAGAATTTAGAATTCGAGTGCATAATATAACCTTCATCTGAATAAATTCATTCATTACCCAATCTAATGGGAGAAATATCTGAATATGGCTTTACTTCAGTTTAAAAACATCTATTATCAACATTGTCAATATAACCGTTGACTTCAAATGGAATATTTTTTACTTGTCCATTTGTTTTTCAAAAGTTCCGTTCCCTGTGCTCAAAATCAACGTATTTTTTATTTCAACCAAAAATTTCCCTCTTTCCTTAATTGGTCGTCTGCAACCCTCTAAAAAATGTTGTTTTGTTTTGAGTGCAAACAGATCCACTTTGGGAGCAGGCTGGCGCCCGGCCTGTACATTATCGATACTGGTTGTGTGGTGGGAACCAGCCTGCCCCACGCGAATGCAATTATTGTCTGGCAGCCAGTAATTCAAAATTGTAAAGTTATAATTCAATAACTTAACATGGGACGCTTCTTTTCCGTAGATGTCTCATTTAAAATTGATTAACTTTTGTATTGCTAGAAAAATAGCAATTTAGAAAAGGAATCTATCTTTTCAGGATGAATCTCAAAAATAGCATGGAGAACGCAGCTTTAATGTTGTAGTACTCCTTCAACTGACATGGTACCCAACGATGTATCATTTTTAATCTAATAACTGACGAAGGCAAGTTTGATGGTTGAGTGGTCAGACATCTGTACTAATACGCAGGAGTCCACCCGAATAAGCTTGAAATTATTTTTCTCATACGCAATCAGAGAAGTGCTGAGCATACAGTTCTGGGCTTACAGTATTTACAATGATACGACGTCATTGAAGAACAAAAGCCTCTATTTTATTTCCAAAAGCACTGCACATGTTTTCGTTCAACCGGCCAAAAGGTCTTTAGACCAATCTGATCTGCCTAGTATTTCACTGAACACAGCGCTGCAATTTTAAGACTTGCACAAATTCACAGTCATTTGAAGAACTGTTCTATTTTGTTTTTGTGTTGTACTTTTTTTTCTGCCTAATAAAAGTCTTCACTGGCCTTTGGTTTCAGGACACCGGTCGCTTTCTGGTTCTTGATCTGATCTTGGTTGTTGTAGAGAGTCGCAACCTGATCAGGAAAAGAAAACAAAAGAAGAAGAAAGTGTAAACAAACTTCTTCTGTGAATTATATTTGAGATTTTGTTATCGTAGAACAAGTTGTTGCAAAATTACAACAAGATGATGAGAAGTGTCAAAATAATGTATTGAGACATTGTTATTTTACAGGGCTTTCAATTTCAAACAGCAAAAACCACAATGTGGAAACCATATTTCGCATTTTAAGACGCTCCTATCAAAAGCATTAGTTTATTTTCATAATCATGAGTAAAAAGTATTCCAATCTTACTAATGCAAACACCCCAACCTCGGAGAATTTTATTCTCTTTTCTAATACTTGTAAACCCTCATTTTGTCCTCTGCCGAATTCTGTCTCATTTTGCCAGCATGCCTCACATTTAACAAATCCATCATACGAAGATTTACTCCTCATTTGCCTTTGTTCTGACCCTTGACCTACTAACCTGTGAACTGTTGGTAGCTTCTTCCGCTTTCTTGTCGTCTCGGACCCGCAGGAAGCGAGGAAATCGCAGGGAGATGCCCTTCTCAGGATCAACCTAGGAGAATGGAAAAAATGGGGATGACAGGCAAACGCGATATATTAACCGGTACACCACCATGTGATGTGTACTTTTCTGGGATGAAAAAAGTTTTACATATTGCTTAAATATGGATCTTCCCTTTCAGTGACAATTTAATTTATGAAAACAGACTTTATAGGCACAATTGTGCTTGTTTGAAATTTGTGATGTCACAGAGTTGAAAACAGAGAATTTGCCTGCTAAAGTTTAGGGCTGTGGATTTCTTGACAAATCATCGGAAAAAAATCCCCTTCTAAGGCAAAATTATGTTCTAAAACTTTTACAATGTATTTTCGACAATTATAAGGAAAACAAATATGCAAACTGAAAAGTTGTGCTTTGGCATCCTCGCTAGCCAGGGAAGTCACTTTGCATACGTCATAAGATGATACCCTGGCAAACCGAGTCCAAATCTTTCCTATTTGACCTCGCTAGATTAATTATTCATGAACACTTCCAAATATGGACTGACATAATTTCTGACCAATCAGATAGCTCTTCACAAAAGCTAACCCAGAATTGACCTCCTAGCACATAAATGGCTGTCATGACAAGCGCTCTCCTATTGGCTAGCAAAATTGAACCTGCGATTCCAGACTTGAATATTCAGTGCATAGGAATATGTCAAGAAGTCTACCCAGAGATTCTGATTGGCTGACGGTGAGTGTGAAAATGGTATGAGATTCAGATTCAGTTTGCCAGCACATTTTATGATGTAAGCCTTTCCTGGTGAGAGAGGATGTTCTTTAGCTGAATAAACATTCATTTCAAGATCTACAGTAAAGCATCTGGTTTTGACTGAAGTAAATAAAGTCTGTCATGAGCCAATATGGCCCATTAGGCCGGCGTTTTGCTCTGGTTTCAGTGGCATGAAACGACTTAGAACATTTCTATTCCCTCTGGATGGATGCTAGTCCATCGCAGGTTACTCCCCAGCTAATGCCGGTACCCATTTATACTCCTGGGTGGAGAGAGTCAAGTGGAGGTGGAGTGGCTTTCCGGAGGACACAACATATGGCCGGCAACTGGATTCGAACCCCTGACCCTCTGATCGTGAGTCACGAATCCTAACCACCTGGCCACACAACCCCATTTGACAGAACATGTCACATATTGCTTACGACTTTGCTCGTGTTTTTTTCTTATGTTTGATTTTATCAAGAAGTTGACTTACAATGCCGATGGCTGCGCGATGGGTCGGCGAGATGGACAGGTCGGCCGCTTTGACCTCCCACACCTGAACGGCGTCAAACCAGTGATCGGGGATGTGGCTCGTGTCGTGACGGTAATATGGGCGGGGCTTGTCAATCACGTGGGCCTTGAAGAACTTGCTGTGGGTGTCCAGCTCTTCGTCTTTCAGACCAGTGCCAATCTGGAGGGAAAAAGGCATGAGACGGTAATTAATGTTAACAAGAGGTGGCTTCAGGACAGTGTAGCATTTCTGGAAGCTGAACAATCCTGTATGCTGTAAGGTTTCAGAACTGGGGGTAAAAAATTAAGGGTTCCATGTTTACAGGCAGAAAAGACGGATTTACAAAGAGAACAAAATTTTAATAAAGCCAAAAAAGTTAACCCGAACCCTCCAGGGCATGTTTGCTAGAAACCTGCCAAACGTAGCAACATATGACTATTAACGTGACAAGCCTGCCAAATGTAGCAAGATCCATCAGGGGAAAAGTTTTAAGGCCACACTGCCTCAGAGTCGGTGGTCACGGAATGCAGCAGGATACAACTGTAGCATTGTTCAATGGGACTTAGCTCTCATTGTTTCAGAGCTGGCCATTCATGCACTGGTGTTGGTGGCTGAATGCATCAAAGTGCACCAGTTCTTTTCCACCTGATGCACTGTGTTGCGTATGGCAGGGTTAGGGTTAATGTAAAGCATGAATAAAATCATTAAAATTAAACAGCTGTCCATTTACCTCAATATCGGGTTCTGCTCTTCCCCAACATATTTGTTATAAACATCAAATAATAAAGACCTAAGACAGTTTAGGCATTCCTATTGGTCGAGAG